TTTAATGAAAGATGATTAAAAACATTAAATAAAAACATAGAGCGTAGGAGTTCTATAGAGATAAACAAAAAACCATAATAGAACATAATCAAATTTATTCAGGTCGTAGACTCTAGATACTATTAATTGTTTCTTGGTCATTTGAGATAGCTTGAAACAATCATATAGATCTAAACACTAGATAGATACTATTTAGGTAAAAATAGTAAGCATTAAAATTTACATCAGCAAATCATTTTAATTTTACAAAAAATGGGTACATAAACTCAATAGCTCAGAATACGACATTTAGGAAGGTATCCATCGAAGCTACCTTAACTGTACTTACAGTCAATACCGTACATAACTAAATCTATATATATAAAAGAAAGTCGTGTTAGTTACTCCACTTATAACTCAAGAACGACTGAACCGATTTAGCTAAAAAATTAGCAGGGAGGTAGTTTAGAGCCAGGAGAAGGACATAGGATACTTTTTATCCCCTTAGAAAGCATTCCCGTGTGAATTGAGATTAAACGTAAGGTGCTATGAAACTTGGTATAACAAAAAAGAATCAGACTTGGAACCTTGGAACAAACGCAAATGACAGCTATGTAATGACGTATGGATGACAATATAGATGGTGAAAAGACAATTTGACATGTATTTGTAAGAAATAAATAATAAAAATATTGCCCATTCGTATAAATAAACAGTGGAGTGAACTATAAAAATGGGTTTAATTAATAATGCCGCGACCAAGACGATCTAATCTTTCCCGACAAAGCCGTGAAGCAAAAAGAAAACGAAATAATAATGAGTACGGATACCAGGACGGCCTCCAGTCGGCTATCCTTTAAATTTAAAGTCAATGAATATCTTCGGAACAAACTGACACAATCAAGTCTCAATTAACACCCTCCTCAGAAACTTTATATATATAATTATATAAAATATATAAACCCATTATATATTTATTTTTATATTATATTATATTTTATATTATATATTTACATATTATATTTATGTTTCATATTAGTATGTAGTATTGGTATGTAGTTTATGTACTAGGATACCTTTATACATATGTACGTACATTTATCACCCTCGTTTTTATTTTTTTTTTTTCGATAGATGCAAACTTCTTTTAAAGCCTACTGTAACACTTCTCTGCATCACCTTATGGTTGGCTGGTAGAGAATGCCATTCGGCATTAAGTCCGCCATTGTATACAGTTGTACATAAAGTGTTAAATAAATAAATAAATAAATAAATGAGTATTTTTTTTTGTATTTTTGCCAATTAAAAAAACCGTTTATTTATTGCCACTAAGGCGGAACAAAGTTCGCCGGGTCAGCTAGTTAATATATAAAAAACAAAATAAGACAATAAAAGTTATTTAAAATAACTATTCAAAAAAAGGATTTGGTCAATCTTCTTGGCCTCCAGTCTATTGCGGCGTTTTTTTTTTTTTTTTTTTTTTTATGGCATAAGCCGGTAAACGAGCCGGTAAACACACACACAAAATGGCGTTGGTTGCATAAAAGTCCAGCCTTGGAGAAAACTCGTTCCGAAGGCACAGAAGTGGCTGGAATACATAAATACTTTAAAGCTATTTTATATAGGCCACTGTTGGTGATTTTGCGAAGTTCCCAAAATTCGAGTGGATTGGCTTTTCTATCCAAATACGGTAGCTCTACATACTGCTTCACCTTAATAATTGCTGATGTTGTGGGGTTTTCCTGGCTTGAAAATTCCAACACTCTTTTATCTAGATGCTCCCATAAATTGTCACCAGTCACCTCTGAAGTTATCTGCTGGGAATCTGAAGATGAAGTTGTAGGTGGTTCGAGACTTGAAGTAGATGGCAGTAGAGATCTATTTGGCACGGTCTGCAATTGAGCTTGAGATTCCTGTGTTTCCAATATCATCAACTCGTCAACAACAAATTTTTGAGCATTATCTGCATTTGTCTCGACGCCAAAACCAGCTTTCTTAAATCTTGGATCCATGAATGTTTCTTTAGCAACAGTTTTGTTTGTCTCATGACCGCCAAATCTTCTTTCGAAAACATCTAGTAATTTTATCTTTAATCTGCTAGCGACTTCGGAATCAGATCTGCAACTTCTTAGTGCTGTTTGTACGCCTCGAATAAGAGGTATAATGCAGGATAACGTTGGATATTGCTTGCCAGATATAATACCCGTCATTTGTTCCACAGGTTTTAACACGCAAAGGCACTCATGCACCTCGGTCCATTCGTCAGCGTTAAGATTATCTGGACAGCCAGGTAATGAATAGATTGCAGCAGAAAGAGGTATCTTGATCTTTTCGAGACGTTCCAGCATATAATACACCGAATTCCATCTCGTCTGGACATCTTGTTTTGGTTTTAAGGTTTCCAGTTGCATTTGTTCTTGAACCTGTTTTAATTTATATGCAGCATTATTGCTTCTTTTGAAATAGGCTACTATTGCTCGGCACTTTTCAATCAATCGAATTAATAGTTCATTGTCTTTGATGGTATCTTGAACCACCAAGTTTAAAGTATGAGCTGCACAACTGTGGTGACGTTTTTGCAAAATATCAATTACAGCCTTTTTTATATTAGCCGCATTATCAGTTGTAACGCAAATGATTTTGTCCAAAATGTTCCATTCGGTTTCACATATATCTTTCATTTCTCAAGCTAAATTTTCTGATGTATGGGTATCCTTAATTTCCCTGGTAGATAACGTTAAAGTTTTAAATTTACCGTCATAAATGAAATGAATCGTCTGGGTCATGTAACTTTTGCTGCTATCGGAAGTCCACAAGTCTGTTGTCAAAGCAATGTAATCTGTTACTTTAAGCATCTCTTGCGTAGCCTTTCTTGCCAAAGAATATTGCTCCGGAATTAATTTTTCCGAAAGAATCTTTCGTGAAGGTAGCTCATAATTAGGGTTAAGCGCACGAGTATACTCTTGAAAACCTTTATTTTCAACGACTTGAAGCGGTTGAAAATCAACACACACCATTCTTAGTAACGCTTTATCCACATTTTTGGAGTTCACCTTCATAGCTTGCTTAGACGGAAAAGTCATCTGAAGTTGCCGTTTACGTGGTGGTGGTACTAGTGGTGTTTCGCCATCTGTCATTGACTGGAATAGATTAGAGTTCTTGTCCTCGTTGACTGGCGTTTGATCTTCAGAACCAGAAGCTACACTTAATAAATCGGAATCACTTTGAGCGGGGGGAATCGTTGAAGAATTTTCAATCTGAGTCGAGTAAATAATAGGATGAGATTTTTTTAGGTGCTTTAACAAATTAGTTGTGTTTTTGAAATCTTTAAATACGGAGTCACAGTTTTTGCACTTTATTTTATCGTCGTTCACTTTCTCAAAACACCTCCATACACCTGAGGTTTTTTTCGGCGCCATTATATAAAAACTAATAGAAATCACTTCACTTCTACTATTAAAAAACTTAGACACAAAATAACTCAGTACTTAGACACAAAATAACTGCTAACTGACAGAAAACAAACAAATCAAAACAAAAAGTTGCAGGTTCAAACTTGTTTGTATTGTTAGAACCGCGCCACTTCATTGCTTAAGTAAACAGTTTGCGAGTACAAGCGAGTTAACAATACTCGTATACTAGACTCGAGTTAGTTGGACTCGCATAAATAGAATCTAGTTAGCAAGTACAAATCGATTCTTCCTGACTCGACTACCGGAATCGAGTCCGGTGTACTCGAATCAAAATAAATTGGTATTCGAGTAAGCGAGTCCAAAGCGAATTTTTTTAAATATAATTTTGTGAATTTTAATTGTAAATATTTGACTGGTTTCTAATCTTCATCGTCATCATCGTTGAAGTCAGGTCATTCATCATCGAGCCAATCTTGAAATTGAATATCTCAATCGTCTTCTTGTTCATCCATGTTCTCCTCGGACTTTTCGGCTGTAAAAAACAAACCAACCAATTAAGATTCGGAAAACTAAAGAGACATCAAAATGATGAGGCTGACAAAATTCGGCAATTGATTTCCATCAAACCAATGAAAATGATATTTGTCATCTTCCATTTTCTTCGGGATTGAGAATATTAATCATTTTGTACATGCATTGTTCCTAATACTAGCAATATAGTTAGAAGAAATTTTTCATTCACATCACATACCAATACTTTGGCCAAGACTGTACCTTGGCCAAAAGTATTGAGCACCCACGACATCTTTAAGTTTTAAGCTGAGTATCAAATTGAAATAAAACAAAACATTTTATATGGGTTTATTTTACTATTTATTAATCGAAAATCAATATTTTGTTGGTGGACCAACAAAATATTGACGGCAATGGCAGTGACATCTCTTTATATTATTAAGATAAACCGGCCAATTCAAAAATGAGAATTGAGCACAGAGTATTAATTAAGAAAATTTAATACAGAAATTTTAAGAAATTCTGGTAAACATAAATAATTGTCTATTGGACAAATTAATAATATAACAAAAGTAACAAAATAATTTAACTTAACTTTAATCAACCTAATTTAAAGAAAGACTATGTTATTTTATGAGACATAAAATGTGACCTCAAAAATATTAAAGCACCTAAAGTGCTATAGTTTAACCTGCTGCGAATTCGGTTACACATAATTCCTGCTGCAGATAAATCACGCTCTGATTCAACGCATGTTGGTGGAACGCATTGAAGATGCTTGTAAGCGGCCTCCAAATATCGTCCTCGTGAACCAACTATCCTCGAATAACACCATCTCCACTCGCACTAAACTGGGAATGTCCATTTTCTTTTGGGATAAGCTCATTTTCTTTTCCAGCCTTGTTGATTTTGTTTAACTCAAATGCTTATCTCTCTCGAAAACTCATTTCTTGATCTAAAGGCTCTTCTTCTCTGGAAATAGTTTTACGCGTGATAAAGTAAATGCAAATTACAATTTTTTATTATTCAGAAAATCCGTGGATTTGATTTTCGAATCCGGATTTTCTGGATAACGGATAGTCCAGATTGTATTTACTACCCCCAGATCATTATGCTGTCGCCACCGTGTTTAACGGTTGGGAACACACACTCTGGCTTAAATTCTTCACCCACACGGCGACGCATAAAGGCCACACCAGGGGAACCAAAAATCTGTAATAAAGGGAAAAATGTTTTGTGAAACTAAAATTACTTCTTTTATGCGTTTTGTTTTTCAACCATTTCATAAAATTGTATAAGGGCATCAAATTGAGCCTAACCTCAAAGTTTGATTCGTCGGACCACACTACATTTGACCAATCTTCAGCGGTAAAAGTTCGGTGTTTTAAGGCCTATTCATACTGAGCTTTTTTATTGTTGTCGGAGAGTCATGGGTTCTTCCTAGCTTTACATCCTTTCAGACCAGCTTCTTGAAGCCTTCTACGAGTAGTTCGAGCAGAAATTGGTTTCTTAATTTCTTAAAATTAATGAAATCTAAAATTAATGTCTAAAATTAATGGAATATAATGTGGTAAAATTAAAATATTGACTTCAGTAAAATTAAACGTTGTCTTTTTCTTGAAAATCACTGCACTGATTATTATTTTCAGTTATTAATTTAAAAACACTGAATGAATTTTGAAAAACTCACAGTAAAATCTTAGCACACTTGAGTATTGTGGAAGTTGCGACACGCACTTGGAATGACCCAGGGTGTCGTATTTCACCAATGCGTTTCTTCACGTTGCACTGCACACACATGGTGTGCCCAGAATACGGGGCTGATGAGTAGTCTGCGGGACCTTGATGAATAGGTCCTTGGAGGGAAGTGGTGATGCGACACGCACTTGGAATGACCCAGGGCGTCGTATTTCACCAATGCGTTTCGTCACGTTGCACTGCACACACACGGTGTGCCCAGAATACGGGGCTGATGAGTAGTCTGCGGAATCTTAATGAATAGGTCCTTGCAGTGAAGCGGTGATACGGGCTCACACTAAAGTGAAGACTTACCGTCGCCCACAGGGCAGCTAAGGTGTTCGGCGTGATGGAGGCTCACGTTATACAGCGGAGGCTTAACGTCGACCACGTGGAATGCAGCAGCGCGGGCTTATGAGGAGCCCAAGGCTTATCGTTGACTACTCCACCAATAGGACTACTATACCACGGAGCCAAACGAGTGGAAATAAATTCGCGAGGCCTACACCTACCTCTATAGATCCTAGTACTCACGTTTTTTCCTAGGATCCTACTTTCACCAAATTTGTTAGGATGGCGCTCCGGGAGTCCCTTTTGGAAATGACACCACAAGTGCTGCTAATAATTTCTTTATTTTATACTTCACAAATTTTGACTTACAATAATTACTGTGTGATATAGAACGGTGTTAGTAGTTGAATAACTTTTTCTGAAGTGACTATACACTACTAAGACGTATATTTTATCCTATATGGCCAGTTGGTTATCCCTTAGTCGATAAATATGCTTGCGCGTATAAGTGCCACAGGATGTACGGATTGCTTTAATTGCAATTTACATGTATAGGACTTTGTTCATACAGGGTCCGCCATCTAAGGTTTTTTTTTTCAACTAGTGCTTATTTCGTGAATGGCAACACTTAGCTTATGTCTGATTTGACAGTTACATAATTAGTTTTATCCTTCCGCTGAACGAATATGGTTGTGTATACGCTTGAACAACGCTGGGAAATATTGCGACATTACTTTGAAAATCATGGTAATGTTGCAGAATTTGTACGAAAATTGCGTACGGATTTTGGAAGAAACGAAGCACCGTCAGCTCCGTATGTTCGTTATCTTGTGAAAAAAGTGAAAGAAACTGGCATCCTCATCGATAAACCAACGCGTGAAAAGCCAAAAACAGTGCGTACACCCGAGAATATTGCTGCTGTGGCCGAAAGTGTGCGTGAAACGCCATCAACATCAGTTCTCCGTCGTTCTCAATAATTGGACATTTCGGAGACATCACTGAGACGAATTTTACGTAAAGACCTTTGTATGACGCCGTACAAAATCCAATTGGTTCAGGAGTTGAAGCCAACTGACCATCCAATGCGTTTTCGCTTCGCTAAGTGGGCCTGTGATCGACTTGCAGAAGATGCCGATTTTTCCAAAAAAATCATCTTTTCAGATGAAGCTCATTTCGATCTTGTAGGGTATGTTAACAAGCAAAATTGTCGCATTTGGGGCACAGAAAACCCGCACGCATTCACTGAAAAACCGATACACCCAAAACGAGTCACTGTTTGGTGCGGATTTTGGTCCAGAGGCATAATTGGGCCATTTTTCTTCGAAAATGAGCAAGGAGCGGCCGTTACAGTCAACGGCGATCGTTATCGGGCCATGTTGAATGAATTTTTGTTTAAAGAAATTGAAAATGAGGATATTGGCGACATTTGGTTTCAACAGGACGGCGCTACGTGCCACACAGCCGACTCTACACTCGATGTTTTGCGCCCTGTTTTTGAAAATCGCATCATCAGTCGCAGAACTGATGTCGTTTGGCCACCTCGGAGCTGCGATTTGACACCGTTAGACTATTACTTGTGGGGTGCCGTCAAAGATAAGTGTTACGCCGACAAGCCAGAGACAATTGACGCTTTAAAGGACAATATTCGTGAAGCCATTGGTGAAATACAGCTGCACACAATCGTTAACCCTTAATTTGGCATAGAAAAAAATGTGATAAAAACTGTTTTTTTTTATTAAAAAATTAATAAACACATCTAAAACTGTTACAAAAAAATTTCAGAAAAAATCTGAAAAGCTTGCTTTTCCTGAAAACTCATGTATGCCACAACATACACTGCCAACTTCTCAAGACTACATACTGTAAATGTGTGGTATGTAGGGACATACATTACCAATTACTAGGCTTCTTAAGTATTTAAAACAAAAACACCATTATTATATAAATAAATGTTTATTAGTGCAAAAAGGAATTTAAATTACCAAAAATTACGTTGGTACGTGGTATTGCAGTTGACAATTACGAGAATTTTTACCAGTAACAAAACAGAGTCGGACTTGGCACTTCAGGCATTGTACAACAGTTAGTTTGGAGCACAGTCGACATCGTCCTTGGGTGGTCATGGTCATAAAATGACCAACGTTATCATACCGTGATGTTTCCGCAGGACTAGCTTGTGGCACTCGTTTTTTCGTGCCTTTGATACCATTTTCGGAACGTTGGTATTTTGTTAGACCCTCGTACAACTCGAATCTAAAGTCCTTCAGAGGCATAGATTTTGACTTTGAATCCTTTCTGTGGAGAAGCCATGCGTTATTTATGCATATATCCAGGAGTTGGGCAAATATGCCAATATACCATCTCCTTGTCTTGAACGGTGTTCTATATAAAGATATAAGCATATCGGCCAAGTCAACCCCTCCCATGTGCTTGTTGTACTCCTTCACTATTTGCGGACATTGAACGTCAACTTTAGTTTTAGAGTCCTTGCAGTACCTTTTTATTGTACCTACTGGTTCAACGCCTACATAGGAACTTATCAATGTCACTGCTTTGTTATCATGCCAACGTACTACGGCCAGGCGGTTTTTGTTGCAAGTGGCTTGAGCATGACTACCCCGGGGTTTCTTCTTCATTTCTTTTTCTGAAGGCAGACTTGCTTCTGCACCTCGCAACCTGTTGTTTCTGATGGTTCCCAGTCCAAAGATCCCATACTCTTCTCTAAGTATGTAAAATAACTCTGGGCAGCTAAAAAAGTTGTCACAGAATACAAAAGCTGGTTTAGATTTTATAGTTTTGCACAAAGCGATCACCACTTGCGCTCCAAATCCGATAGAGGCTTCTTGTTCGCTAAAAGTATGGAATCTAAATGTATCCTCTCCTCCATACAAGATGAAATCATAGATCATGCCAGACACTCCAGCGCGTACATAGTTTTTAAATCCCCACTTATTTGGTTTGTCTTTCATGTATTGACGACGCTTGCCCGCTTTTGTCCCTTTATATGGGATCATCATCTCATCAATACTAAACCTCCTCTCATTTTCTTGAGCTAAACAATTTTCTCTTATTTTTTGCACCAACGGCCTAATTTTATAATATCTATCAGAATCTTCGATATTGTTGTCAACGAAATGTAAATAGCGACGTATCTGTTGATAGCGTTTTAGTGGCATCAGATCAGCCACTAGTTTGTACCTGTATCGCAAACTCCAATAATCAGTGTAAGATGGCATGCTCACCACACCCATTATGATATGTATAGCTATGAAGTCTCGTAATTCGTCTTCAGTCAAACCTAGTGTACGTCCAGTTTTAGATACTGCATAAGCATTTGATTGTTCCAGAATGTGTGTCAAAATGTCAGGAGAAAAAAACTTATAGAAATATTCCAGGGGGGTTTGGATAGTGGCGTCGCCTATAGAATCCGATTCCTCTTCCATAGTAGCCAAATGACGAAACACAGCTTTTTTCCAACGATAGCTCAGAGTGTACTTTTGAATTCGTCTAGGTCGTTGAGCAACACTACCTCTAATAGTAGAACGTTGTGATCTTGTTGTTCTGGAAAAAAGTGATGTGGAGGTGGCATTCGCTGGCATGCGTGGTGTTTCCAAACCAAAAGATGCAGAGCGTGCAAGAAGTGAAGCTGTTGCAGAATTTGTGGGAGTAGCAGGAGTTACAGGTGACGCAGGTGTTGCGGGAAATGATGGGATGTCACTCAATATTGGTACTTTATTACAATTCGGTTCTAGAGATGGGCTCGAATAAACAGTTTGGAAAATGGATGTAAGGCGAACATTGTCGTTAGTGGGTTCTTGTTCATCATTAAAAAGGTTTAGTCTTTCTAAGGAGCTTTCAATTGAGGGTGCAGAAGAACTGGACATAGAAAGCGGAGCGTGCTCAGGTATCTCATCTTCAATATCGGAAGGTTCACTATCGTCAGAAGGTGCATTATGAGCAGGGACAAGCGCTAAAATTCTACCACCCCGAGTTTCAAGCTTTTGCTGCAGACAAAGAAAAAGAAATGCTAAAACATAAAGTAAGCAAAGCATATCCCCAGCACTGGCAATGTATGCCATGACATACAAATTGTTTTAGGGGTATTTTACTGCAAACTTGGCAATGTATGTCACAGTATACTTCATGTTAGTACCCAAAATAAAACCATTTCAAGACGTAAAAACTTCAAACTTATTATTGAAATTATATTAGCATAATATCAAGCATAGAATTCAGTCATTTAATTTTTCCTAAACCTTATATTAATTTATAAAATAATATAAATACCTTGAGAGAACAGCAGCCGGCCGCCGGGTCGCCATTTTCTTCCACTAATATCAAAATAAGTGTTGCCAGGTATCTGTTTTATATTTCCCACCAAAAATAGTTAGTGTTGCAAGTGGATAAAAAAATAAATCTACGTCATTTTATTATTTCCTTTAACAATATATTTTTTCAAAGTTGATGTATGTTGGGGCATACTATGTCAATTTAAGGGTTAAAGTGCTTGAAAATGGGACCGATCGTGTAGGCTACTGCATGGCCAGCCGAGGTAGCCATATGAATGAAATTATCTTCCATCATTAACCGGAAAGATTGTACTTTCAAATAAAAAAAGAAATTTCAAAAAATATTCAGTAGTTTTTTTTTCATAGCATTTTCAAAAAAAAAAGTTATTTGGCGGACCCGTTATAAGGAGTGCTTAGATCTTTGTTATTTACAATGTAACGATTGCTTAGATGGTAATTTAAAAGTATAGGGCTTTGTTCATAACAGATCACTGCGACTTGTTTTTGGCAGAAGGTCCTGTATGATCGGAGACGGTGACAGTAGTGCAGGGTTGCGCAATTTTCAACAATTCCAAATATAAATTAGCATTTGGCGTTTCAAAGTTGATTGTAATTTGAAAACTTATCTTGTTTAGTTAAGTTTTGGCAAAAAGCCTTTAAATTCATCTATCTGTCCAGGTCTTAACAGAGGACAGTGTCTTCAATAAGAGTCCACCCTGTGTTGTTATTATTATTTTTTTATTAAACTCGGCCTGCAAATGAAACCTTTCCCGGACGTTCCCCAGATGCCCTCTAAACTAGGACAAGTTCGGCGAAACCCGGACGGATAGCAACCTTACTCTTAACCAATCTCGTCCAATCATTATGTTTGCATTTGCTACTGGAATATTGTTTAAATTTCAATTTACCTTATTTTTTTGTCGTTTGAATTTTTCATGGGCTCCAGCTTTAACTTGCATCAATAGTAGTTCTTCAAAGGTTGTTAGTATTTTTTTCTAATATCTGGATCCTATTACTGCTATTGTCATCGCGTTTCAAATCCTTATTGGAAACAAAAGATTTTCGTTACAGTCTCTGACAAGTAACGACATTCTGGTCCTAGAACTTGAATTTTTAATTAATTATTATTCTGAATGCGGTTGTCGGTGTTACAATTTGCAGAACAGTGATCGCTACTAGTACGATGAGAATGTATACCAAATATTTTTGTTGAGCAATTAAAGGGAAAGCAGACTTTGTGGCTGGCTTTTTGTTGCAACAAATGAGTATTCATTATTATAACAAACTAGTTCTTCTGGAATGATCAAATTTCTTCAGAATCAAACGAGTAAATTTCATAAAACATGACTATCAATTTCAGCCCAAACCACTCCAATAAACATTGCAAACTCTTTCTTTGGCAACTTCATTCCGATATTTAAACGCTGTCATTTTACGAGTATTGGATACCATCGAGCTTTAAATGATTTCATGGCCGCTATATCAACCGGTTATATAAGATGTGACTTATATGCGGAGGTACCTTAAGTATTGTTATATCTGCTTTACACGCGCTTCTTCGATTATGTTTAATCCCTCTTGAGTAGCATGTCCGTCATAAATAAGAAGAATTGAACGTCAATCTCCAACGTCGACGTCGTAAAAGACTACAATATAAAAAAAAACCGATTTCTCTACCTTCACGTGGTGTGTAATTTATTTCTTTTCCCTAAACGCTCATAAAAATATACTTTGCGGTGCTCTGGCGACAAAACTACTTCATTACCAAAAAACTGTCCAGACATAAATTGTCGAAAATTGTAAGTAGTATAATTTTGTAATTAACGGTTTCCTCATAAAATGCACAGAAAAAGAGACATTGTAAAAAACTGTTTTCAACCGCCATTTTTCCAAGATGGCGGCGCGGGCGGCGCACGTACAAAGGTGCAAAATGGAAATCGAAAGAGCATATTAAAATCTACATAATAGCCGATTTTCAAAACTTCCGGAAAACATTCCAGGCGAGACTAAGAATTATTGAACTATAGGTATAAAAATTGTGAAGGAATGGAATGTGCGATATAGACCATTACATCTCCGTCCTTCTTGGGGGTCATCACAACAGGTGCTGTCCATTGAGAGGTGGAAGGAGTAATAATACCTTCATTGATCATTTGCTTAACTTCTTTAAGTGACAAAAACGTATATTTACATACATAACATCACGCTTTTTATCCACGAAGGGGTAGGCAGAGGTGCACAATACGGCACTTAATGCCACTGTTAAATGTAACTCACACTTTCCACGTGATATGTCCCATGTAATAGGGGGTGAGCCTATTGCCATATACCGGGCACATTTCCGGACTCCATATTACTACTGAGTATTTCCAAAAACCCAGTAATACTTTGCCCGACCCGGGAATCGAACCCGAGACCCCTTACCCAGCAGTCGCACTTACGACCACTCGGCCAATGAGGCAGTCCTATATTTACGAATAGTATAAAATTAAATCTTGGAGTAAGACTTCTTTACGCTGCGGAGACTTCAGCTATTTAGCTTACAGAAGACAGGGCAGATAAGGTAGTGTCTTTCGTAGTAGTCATAAAAAATGTTGCATATATTGAAATATTTTATTATTTATAGACAGAATTGCTATAAGTTTTTCACTAGAAACTTCATGATCATCATGACTTATCTGTATGTTATCAGTTGATAATATACATGTATGTGAAATCGAGTAAATACCTAATACTAATAGTATGGAAAGAGACAAAGTATGCATCTACCTATGACAAACCGGGGTTTCTAATCTATATTAATAATTTCGTCAAGGGGTACGGTAGACTCGATCGAAACATTACCTAAATAACAAAATATAAAAAAATACCGATTTCGAGTCCATAACATACACCCACAAAATTCGGCAGCATGGACCTGTCACATCAATAATATGCAATGGCACAAAATATTCCATGAAACATGTTCATACAATGTTCATACAATGTTCATGTGCCTCTCCATGTTGATCGAAGTATATTAAACAAAGAAGACAACCTCTTGTTACTGTCCCCTGTCCTCATTTTAATTAAAAAGATTGCCAATGTAGTTTTTGGTGACGCGGCACCTTATTACTTTGCAGTACGTGTCCATCCTGAACCAGCTATCTTTTTTATGTCATCCTCCCTGAAAGTGGACGAGAATAGTAACAGAATGGTGGTTACCATTCTGTTACGAATGTTCGCTGTGTGCGAGATAGTAAAAGAAGCAAAGGTAGACAAAGCAAACGAGGGGAGGATGACATAAAAAAAAGGATGACATTATCAGATATAAGGACACGGTAAAATAAAAATCAATCAATTATATTAGACATAATACTAATTAATCAATAAAAAAAAGCTAAGTCGAAATCAATTTATCGGATCGATTAATTCGATTAATCTCGAAAAATAAAACTCCCGAGATATCATCATAGTTTTGAGTAATTAGGTACCTACCTAACGGTATGCACCTAATTTGTATAAACAAGATTTGAAAATAAGGTATTTTAAACTATTCATGTATAAAGTCAGATCAATGTAGGTACCTAGGTATCTATTTTACAAACTTATTAACTAGATACCTACTTCGGAGCGGCAAAATTCAAATGGCTTCACATCAAGCTATGTGACACCAGTATAAACTGACCGTTAAATGCATAGACAAATCGTACAAAGCGAGCTCAGGATAGACTGGGATTAAAAAACACAAGAATGAGATTGGTACACAACCAAATCGCTATCAAACTATACCTACCCATAATCGCAAATCGCTGTATTATGGCGGCTGTACACACTAGACGAGAACCTCTCGCCGAGAGCCTCGGCCGAAAAGACTCGTCGAGAGCATGCCTGTACACACTCGTTATAACATTTGAACTGAAGAGTTACACGACAATGGACGTAGAAGTAGCTGCTGCTATTTGTCTTTGTGCCGTGAGCTATTATAATTTTTTAAACATTTACTATAAAAAAACAATTCTCAAACCATGGAGAAAAAGAAGATGGTGGATGATTACTATGCACCGCAGTAGAAACAGGTATCAATAATTTATATCAATTTATTTAATCAATTTATATAAATATCAGGTAATTTAAGGATTCAATAGAAATGCTTCTTTGTTTCAGAAGTACAATGGAAAATCAATTTGCTGAGTTGGTGGCGGAACCTTCTGGCCAATTTAACAACTTCACAAGAATGTCTCTATCAGACTTTGAATATTTATTGCAAAAAGTGTCTCCAATGATAAGTAAGACAAATACACTTAAAAGAGAAGCAATACCTGCTAAAATTCGCCTAGCAATTACGTTGAGATTTTTAGCCAGCGGAGACAACTTTGAGAGTCTACATTATCTGTTCAAAGTTTCCGGTTCAATAATTTCCAGAATTGTGCCCGAAGTTTGTATTGCTCTAAACCAAGTTTTAAAGGATCAAATTAGGGTAAGTAAAAACAAAATAATTACAAAATTATTTATTAAAAACGAACACAGTTTTGGAAAAATAGGTTATGGTCAAAATTGTAGTAAGGAAGTAGGTACTTATAAAACTATGCTTCATAAAATGCCTGATTTACAATGTCGGTATTGTGCGCTGAATCTGTTGGTGGACTAACAATCTCGTCAGACAAAATTTGAATAACGTTATCGGAATGTGATCTTTGAACCCCTGGATCAGAATATGTAGTGCATGCCGACTCAGGCCGAACGTAGTATGTAGGGGATGTAGTAGAATGTAGTACAAGTCTTGAAGTTGGTTCTGAATGCATAGTGTACGTCGGTGAAGGCTGTGTGAAATATGAGGGTATAGCATTAATGCGCTTTATAAATAATCCATCTATTTCATACATCATTTTTAAACTATCTGTTTCACTTAGTTTACGGAGCTTATTAGCAAGAATTTTGCCATAACGATCAAAATCGTCTTCGGGCACTACCGGTTTATTCAAAACTTTATTCAGTGAACTCATGGCTTCCTTCATCGTCTTCCCAGCTTCTTGTAGTTCCATAGGATTTTTTCGGCGCCGCGGTACTGTTTCCAGTGAGGAAGTCGTAGGCGCAGAACCTGCGCCTACAACTTCCTCTTCTCCATCTAATTTTTCACTTTCTGTTGTAGTTGTTGTATTCTGAAAATAATAACACAGTTTATTTTATGTTACAGATTCCTGAGGATCCACAATCATGGTTACAAATAGAAAAAGGTTTTAGAAAATTTCCAAGGTGTATAGGCGCAATAGATGGCAAACACATTGTTATCCAATCTCCTATGCTTAGTGGTTCAGAGTACTATAACTATAAAAAGAGTTTCAGTATTGTTCTTCTTGCTTTAGTTGACAGTAATTACAATTTTATTTTTGCTGAAATTGGAAGCCAGGGAAGAATTAGTGATGGTGGTGTCTTTCGTAGTAGTCAACTATGGCAAAGAATTTGCTCAAATAATTTAAATTTCCCAATGCCACGACCGCTACCAGGGGGTAGAAGAGAAGTTCCGTATGTTTTTCTGGGAGACGGAGCATTTGCATTGACAGCACATGTGATGAAGCCGTATCCAGGAAGTCATAATGAATGGACGCCGAAACGTATATTTAATAAGAAATTATCTTCGTCACGTGTAGTGGTTGAAAATGCATTTGGGATACTAGCTTCAAGATTCAGAATATTTCGGAAACCCATATTACTAAACCCAGAGAAAACCACTATTATTGCAATGACTTGTGTACTTCTACACAATTTCTTGAGGAAGAGTAGAACGTCATCGGCAATTTATGCACCTTCAGGTACAGTTGACGTATATGACAGCAACAATGAGCTAGTCACACCAGGTTTATGGAGGAATGAAATTGAAGACACATGTGCCATCAGACCCTTGCAACAAATACCGAGAAGACCAGCACAGGATGCATGTCAGATTAGAGAAGAATTTACAACATATTTCTTTAATAATCAGCGCCAATAATTAAACGGGTTATATCTATTACCTACCTGTTGTAAATGTTGTAATAAATACATTTTTAATTGATATAAATAATGTTTTCTTACCTGTGTATCTGTGTTCAATGTATTTCTACACTGAACAATATTATTTAAAAATGAGTCCATAAACTCATAGGCGAACCATATTGGTTTATATACTGATTCGGCTGCAGCTCCAGACTGGATGGAGGCAATAACCCTTCTTTTATGACTACGATAGGTAGCCATAAGTGAGTCCCGCTTCTTTTTCAACTCTGCGACCGGGATTTTCATGTGCTCGCTTATTCGCACCCAAGCGTCATGGATACATTGTTTATCTTTATGATTCACATCCTTCGAGTTCCATAACACAG